GTGAAGTCCCATGTTGAGCAGTACGAGGCGAGATCGGGAATTCTGAATCAGGTACTTGATGATATCAGAAGGCAGATCCGTAATCTCCCAGCAAGTAGTGACCAAGCACGGTCCGCCGTTAGGCGTGAACTCGATTCGTTTCGGAACACGCTGGAAGGCGCAATGCGGAGAATTACCACGGTCGAGAGTAACATGCGTACTCTTAACGGAATGAACAACAGGATCATGGCTCAGCTTTCTGAGATTGAAGGTCATGTTGATGAGGCTGCTGACATTATTCAGGGTGTCCAGCAGGATCAGCAGAGTCCTCAAGGACCCAGGGAGAGGCGGAATATTGGGTACAATGCCTTTGCTGGACGGGGATATAGGATCAGGTCAACGCCTACTCCTGGTGAAGGAAATGGTCGGGGTACTGGCCTTCCGGTAAGGCCGGGCAGGGGTGTTGGTTTGGCCGATCACGCTTTGCCAACTGTGCCCGATAGGGTCGATCCTTCTCGTGCAGACAGGCATCCCATTCATCCCGATAGGGAAAGGGCTGACAGCAGAAGCAGAAGAGCTCGAGGACTGCCTGATAGGTCACACTCCCCGCTAGGGCGTGTGAGGGATGGCCCCCGCGCGCGCGCAAGGGGGGGCATTTCAGTTTCCCCTAACAGGGATGAGGGTAGGAATAGGAGCCCGAGGCCTGCTGCCGTCCCCGATAGGGGATCTGAGGTCCGGAATCGGCAATCGAGAGGGGAAAGGACGATCCGCGATAGCGGGAGCATTTCTCCGAACCCGGACAGGCCGATCCGCGATAGCGGGAGCGTCTCTCACGAACCCTAACCGTAATCCAGGAGGTGGTAGGGTGAGTAGGGCCCACGCCGAAACCCAGAGTCCTGGCAATAGCTGGAGGACTCCTGGGAGCAGAGCTCATGCTGATGTCCAGAGTCCCGGCGATAGCTGGAGGACCCCTGGAACCCCATCCGATCGTGGACGGGCCTCGGCACCGGCTGCAAGAGGTACGCCCGGTACCGGCGGTCCAGGTGCGCCGAAGATTTGTGCTCTCGACAACCCAAATGATCGTAGGCACCCTGATGCCGAGTTCACGTGTGCTACATGCACTCGTGAGTTTTGTAGACTGTGCGAGGGCGAGGACGGAGATTGCTGCAATTGTCACTTCTTGAAGCTTAAGTGTTGGGCATGTCGCAAAAATGCCCAGGAGGTCTCAATGTATCTCTGCTCCAATTGCGGGAATTCCGTATGTGAAGATCACATTCACTTTGGTAATGACGGCCTTGAGCGATGTGCGCGCTGCAATACTTGGCGTGAACGAGCTGACGCTGGACCGCCCCCTCCTCCTCCTCCCGGGGGAGGAAGTGGACATGGCGGACCATCCGGCCAAGGTGGAGGCGGAGGTGGTGGTCATGGACCTGTTCCATTTCCACCGCCGACCTGGACACCCCGGTGGGGGTCAAGGTTCCGCTGGACCTCCTGACGCCCGAGTGGTGGGGCTCCTACCGGGGGATACCCTGGTGGAGCGCCCGGATTCTATGGTAGTGCTGCCGACTCTCATGGAGCTGAGAACAATCAGTGTGGTTCGAGTTTCTATGGTCCAGCCTATGGGGGTGGTGTCTACAATCAGGGCGTTGGTGCTGGCGTTAGTCAGCCCAACGTTGCTCCAGGCTACCCTGCAAGCATCGGGCATGCCAGTAATCCTGGAGCGGGTCAGTGCCATGGCTATAGCGCCAATGGTGCCGATAGGCCAGAGGAGACGATGGGCAAGACACGTGCACCAAGTGTGGCCTCAGAGTCCCCATTACCGGCCCTCCTTTGGTCCCATGCGTTGGTTGTGGAATGAGGGCTTGTGATGTGTGCTGTCCATTTCCAGCCAGGCTGTGTGAGAGCTGCAGGATCACGTCATGCACCCCGATAGGGGCCTTAATTTCGACTGTTGCTGATAAGGATCGGTACCATCACAAATGCAACACTATCACGTTGCCTCCTGAACCGACAGCTGATAAGCTTCGGGAATGGATTTCCGAGGTGAAGGAGAGGGTCAGGAACGCTTTCAGTTTCGACTCTGATTACGCGTTAGCGTGGATTTCAGAGACTGAAAGGCTCGACTATGACGCTCTTGGAGGGCCCTATAAGTACCCGGTTTTGGATTCCAACTTCACGAGTGCCATCAGGGATTGCATCAAGACGAGGGCCGTTAGGGATAAGATGAATCGCCTAACAGAAGCTGCTCAGAATATGACCCCTCCTCAGGGCATCAAGGGAAGGCAGATCTTGAAGCTTTTGCTGAACCATCTGCAGACTGGAGTCGAAGACGACCAGACTTTCAAGATTGCCGAGTTGACCAGTCTCAAGTGTCGACAGACAGGTCACTCCGATGATGAAGCTAGGCTCCGGAGTTATCTGAGCACCTGGGACGATCTCATCTACGGGATCAAGAGGAGGATCGATGATGGAGTGCTGCTAGCTGTGTTCATCGAGAACGTTCGTCATCTACGCTGTATGCGGCCTGACATCGAAAGATGGGACCGCGATGAGACCGTTAGGTCTTTTCAGTGGCTCTATAAAGCATGTCAGGACTGTGTTGAGCGGTGGCAGAAGCGACAGAACGATATGACCCACTCGCGAGGAAAAGCGACCCAAGTCCCTCGAGGTCCCGGAAGGGATGGGAGACCGGATGGGAAGCCAAGGTCGTCTTCGCCAGGTAGGAGCAGTCAAAGAGACAGAGCTTCTCCTGGGAGAGGCAGGCAGAGGGACAGGCGCACCCCGTCTCCCAAGTCACCGAGGAGGCAGTCGCCTGCTGGGCCTGCTGATCGGGCCTGCTGGGAGTATACGAAGACTGGGAAGTGCCAGTATGGTCGGGACTGCAAGTTCGAGCATGACAAGAGCCCGAGGAACCCTGCTGCGCCCTCTACTCCGAGGACTGGTGATAGGCTCATTACCTAGAGCATCCGACGATGTCCAAAGGACACCGCCGAGCCCAAACGACAACGTCGAGGGCCGGCGGTGTCGTGTGTTCGTGGACGATGTCGCATGAACGTAACGAAGCCGTGTATGTACATGGCGCACCGCCGATCACATCCAAGCACACACGACACCGCCGAGCGAGCACGAGCGAGCACGAGTACATTCCAGATATTATATGGACTTCGAAATCATATGTTTGTGTGCTTTTTGCATGGCGATACAATGTTTATGTGTTCATACCCATGTGGAGCGCAGGTGTACGCACAAAGTACGGCTGTGAGTTCCAGCGTGGGTTTGTGGACGATGTCGCATGAACGTATACGGAGCCGTGTATGTACATGGTGCACCGCCGATCACATCCAGGCACACACGACACCGCCGAGCGAGCACGAGTGCGTTCCAGACATTATATGACGGACGCAGAAATCATTGCATGGCGATACAATGTTTATGTGTTCACACAGCCGACGATGTGGAGCGCAGGTGTGCGCACACAAAGTACGGCTGTGAGTTCCAGCTCGGAAGAACAAACTTGCAACTTATGTTCTGAGAGCTGGTTTGCAATCCCTTCTTCAAGGGCGCAAGTCGCAGATTTACTGCTTGCAATGCGCGATGGGTGGCAAGCACCCGCTGGCTTCCATGCAACATGGCCCCCTGCTGCGCTGGACACAGTCTATAGCACATTCTTTCACTTGCTTTCGGGTCCGAACTCTCTGAAACTTCTGCTTCCCTGGCTCGCCCAGGCCATAAAAGTTTACAGGGTACACCCAGCGCAGGGTACCAGGGTAGCTTTGCTATGCATAGCGCAGCTCTCTCTCTCTCTCTCTCTCTCTCTCTCTCTCTCTCTCTCTCTCTCTCTCTCTCTCTCTCTCTCTCTCTCTCACTCTCTCTCTCTCTCTCTCTCTCTCTCTCTCTCTCTCTCTCTCTCTCTCTCTCTCTCTCTCTCTCTCTCTCTCTCTCTCTCTCTCTCTCTCTCTCTCTCAACTTTCCGTATGATGTAAGTTTCTCTTCCAAACTTCCTCTGAGGACAGGGTCTAGAGGGGAAGGGTGTGTGAAGTATTTAAAGTACAAAAGGTGTTGTGTATATTGGGTATATATATATAGGGTGGGAAGGGTACATAAGGTATCAAGTATATTACGGGTGCAGCATGTAGGGTACCAAATGTATACAAAGTACTTGAGTTACTTGAGGCGTGCAAATGTGAATGTATGCGTATATATGTATGTGTATATGTACACATATATGTATGCATAAGATGTAAGGGGCTGTTTGGGGTATATACAGACTATCAAGGGTAAACAAGATATACAGGTTCTCCAGGGGGTATAGCGGAAATGAAGGACTATACAAAGCACACAAGGTAGCTGTGCACAAAACCTGCTTTGAATGCTTGGTTAAACCATCGCTTCGAAGACAATAAGGAACAACGGGTTCGAACTGTTTCTATGTTTCTGGGGCCACTTGCGGACGAGGGAAAACCAATCATCTCTTCAATCAAGAGTCTGGTGGTTGCAAACTTGAAACCCTGCAAAATCAGGAAAAAGGCTTTCAAAGTTCAAGGCGCCCTGACAAACCCATACACATTGCGTCCTACCCATACTTGCATACACTGAAAAACCCTTCACCCTGTGTGCCTTCAAAACCCTTGACCCTGAAAACCTTGCATACTAAAAACCCTGAATACCCTGAAAACCCTACATGCCTGGCCGCCTGGCCAATGGTTGCGCGCTGCTGGCGCACTGCGCGGCCCTTTTGGAGCTGAGAACGGCGAGTCTTGGCGAGCATAGTCCGGGACAAAGGTCATCTGGGAAATTCTGGGAAACCCATGGTTTACGTGTTCTTTCTGAACAAATCGGACCTTTCCCACAGGACCCATTGTCAGATCCCGCATCCGTGTTCCCCAGGATGCAACCCGAAGTCACAAACTTGCCTGGCTGAAACGACATGCCAACTGGAACCTGTAAATCTATTGTTGTATCATGACTTTGAAACTTTGAAGCAACTGCAGTTGCACGTTGGCTAGCACAGGCAAAACCACCTATAGGGGCGAAGCGCCTTTGGCACGATTGCCTGCGCCTAAGAAGACCCCAAACGCCAAAAGGTATCTTGAAAATACCCGGCGGGACATTGTCAGGCCGTGACAACAGCGGGCGATGTACTTTAACTTCCCCAGGAAGGATTCGTCATCCCAGGTGTGAAACAGTCGTTGGTTCACTCTGTACAACCTAATTTGCCAGGCAGTGTGCCACACATAATGGTGTTTGGGTCTTAGTTTGAAAACCAGCACCTTGCGCTCTCTGTAGTGCAGGGCTAGGTACTGGTAGGCCCGGAGGAAAGAGAACAAACAGTCTGAAGCAGAAACAGCTTCTTCTTCGAGAAGAAGGAGAGATGCTCGGTCAAGTACACCGGTGGCATTCGCCAGGGACCAGCAGCAGGTAGCCAGGACACAGAGCAAGTGGTCCTGACGCAGTAGGGAGCTCGCAACGAAACTCTGGAACTTGAAAACATGAGTGAATCTTGATGTTGCCAAAGGGCAATGAGAAGAATGCCGGTGTTGTTGAAAGTATTCAAGACAGCTGATGACATCATATTTGGTTGGACCCCCATCAAAACAGAAATTGAATGGAACTCAGGCATGAGTCGTTGCCACCCTGGGAGTCGGACAGCCGCTGGGTGTGCCGAGCAAGCCACCAAAGCATAGTTTTCACATGGGCAGCTTTGAACTTGCTCCCAAGCTCGGCATACTCCTCGTGCCCCCACGTGTTGAGATTCGCAACAGTGAGTCTCCGCCGTGGGAGGTACAGCCTGGGTGACTGTGAAACATGGCAAGGGCTTGGGATTCCCCAAAAACGTAATGGGAGGAAAACAAGCAATCTTCATGGCCCCTCATCTATAGCCAAAGCGCCCGCGTTCTTTGCAACATTGCCTCATTTCAATGGTGATGGCTCTCAAAACCTCCTCCTCAGTGTTCCCGTAATCTTGATACCAACCTTCCAGAAATAGCGCCCGTAGCACTGAAGCAAAAAGGTCACGGCCAACACCCAAATAGATATTGTGAAGAAGGTCCCACCCGCAGCTTTCAAGAGTCCAGCCTGGAACCGCCCTCCAAGGTGACAAGCTGTGAGAGTCGAGCGCGAGGTACAGCTGGTGGCTCAGCTGTGTGAGGGAGTACGGGGCATGCTTGTCAAGGTTGGTGTAATGAAACTCGGCGGTGGTTCCAGTGTGTTGTTCTGCAAGGCAATGGTCGCATAACTGTGTGCACCGGTAATACCTGGAGAACATGTGCATATCCTTCCTTGCTTTGAGGTCTGCTTTGCAAGCAAAATAAATGGCCTTCCATGGGCCACAGAGTTGTGTGCCAGCAAGGGACTGGCGGTAGCCCTGAAGCTCCTCACCGTAAAATCCCCTGAGTGGCGCTCTCCCCTCCGTTGCATGTTGGAGGGACCAGGCAAATAAGCGGGCAAGTGTTTCGTTTGCTGCATCGCGGATTTTCGGATAGGTCAAGTCACGCTCTGGTAGGATTGCGAAGGGGAACTTGTACATCAGCACATCTTTTATTTGGGCATGGCCGGCAAAACAACTGCTGAATGAGTATACCAGGTACTCATCGTTGCGAAATAGTTCGGCCCCGTCAACATGGATTGTAAGGCCCACCACATGGCTCAAATCAATGCCATTCAGGGACAAATGCGGATGGTCTCGCCACGGCTTGCAAGTTTTTATGTGGGTCCAAAACTGCTTGATTCCATCAGGGGTGATGTTGCCAGCCATGAGCGCGTCGAACTGCCAGCAGGCAATCAGGGAAGTGTTTCCAAGGGTTGGTTCTGCCATTTCCCAAAGTTGTGCTTGAAACAAAATTCCCCCTACGGTCAAACAACTAACATGTCCGGTGGTCGTAAACCATGTTCGTTTTTGTGAGGGGGTGAGAGGGTAGTCCAGCCTGGTCCTCCCCATGCTCCCAGATGCAATGAAGCACTTCATGCGGAAGTAGCACGGACACATTGATGGGCTTGGGCTTTTTTGCCCCATCAACCTCGGGCCGGGCCAAGGGAACAAAAGGAGATATTTGTGTTGGCTTTACCAAACGTCATGGAATATCATGGACCCAATCTTGAGCAGAACCATTCTGAAAACAACTACTTTGTAGTGTCTAGCAACAAGAAGGTCCAGCTGTATCTCGTAAGGCTCCAGGTTCACCAGGTTCTTCAACCATCGCTGCAAATCGCGCTCCTGGTTCCCTTCAAACTTGCCAGAGTTGCCAAGGCTGGCTAGTGTTGATAGGGCTTCGGTTTGTAGACCTTCTGCTTGGGCAGCCCGCGCCAATTCACAGGCTGAGCTCACATGGGTTCGCCCCCGGCCTATCATGTCAATAAGCTTGGTGGCAGTGAGGGACTCTGGCATCTCGTCAAAGCGCTTTCGCTTCCTGCGGGCGGTAGGGAGGATAAACAAACAGATCCGTAGATGCGTAACAGGGTTTGCACATGTATCTGCTATACCACATGGTGCGCATAACTCTTTGCATGCACACAAACACATGCAGGATCTATATGCGTATATGCTTCCATGATTTGCGCAAGACCGAGTTCACTGTTTACACTGGATATATGCAAGTGCAGTGATATACACAAGCTTGTGCAAGTCCTGCAACTATGACCCATAGATGCGTTCAGCCTTTGTGTTTTGACTGAGCCCAGCCACGCGCCTCCCAGCACCAATGCCGCGAACAGGCAGGCCTGCCGAGATGAGGCGCGAGCAGCATTTAACCAAATCAAGCCCAGAAGCAGCGCGCCAAGCAACAGTGGCCTATAAGGCTGCACAAGCTCACTTTGAACACAAGCAGGCGCCAGACTCCTAAGGCGAACTGATTGCGGACACCCGCGCAGAATAGCTGCGCAAAAATCGGACTACTATGTAGTCCAGCATCCTAGAAACCCCTATCGCAGCAAGGGATCACACCTCTGCGTCGCGAAGAGCATTCTCAGAACTCTCGGGCTCGGCGCCGCCGCGCTTGCGCTTCTTGTTGCCGCCCTCGCCCGCGTTCTTCTCCTTCTGCTCCTTTTTCTCGGCCTTCTTGATCCCAGCAAAGATGGCTTCAGCGGCAGCCTTCGCAGAATACATGCTTCAAAAACATAATGCTTGGGGAAGAACAACCCGACAGACTGGGGAGATAGAAACAAGTGGACTGAGTGAGTAGGCAATGAAAATGCAGAATTTTCTTGATCAGTTTTGGGGTGAGCAAGAATGTCACTCCTTCCTATAGGCCCTTTTTTCAATGTTCCCTCTCCCATCCTTGGCTTTGACGAACCAAGCGTGCTTCTCATCCAAGGTGGAGAACGTCTTCTGGTACCAAGCTTCATCGCCGACACCCGAGGTTGCTTTGGCGAGCATGTGGTAGATCTTCTCTGTTTCCACGGCGTGTCGCATGAGGCCCTGCGAGAGCTCCGAGGCATAGTCCACTGACCGTAACGCAATGGATTTTTCCCGGGCAACGCAACTTTCTGAGAGAAGGCCAGGCATCCTTTCCGCAGCACTCCTGGGCGAACACACGTTGACTACCCGTTTTTGGGGGGATTCTTGGAGGACACACTCAAAAGCATCCGCCCCTCAAGCCAAAACGTTCAATGAAGGCCAAGGGTCTCAGGCATTGTGCGGGGCATCACTCGCTCAGCCTTCTGTTTGGTGGCAACTGCTTTGGGTTTGCTTTTCTGCTTGAGCTTCACACCGGCCCCCGAGTTCAAGGCTGAAAGAAGCTTATTCTTGCCACCTTCGGTTGCTGCCTCGACCTCCGGCAAGGCTCCCTTCGCCAGCGCTGAGCCATCCGCTGTGAGGGCGGTCAGCATGCTGCTGTCGCAGGCCACTTGGCCCTGAATCTTCATGCTCTCGCGGGTCTCGTTGTCTTGTCGAACCTTGTGGCCAACCGACATGTAGTACCAGGCTTCCTTTCGGGCAGGGCAACAGGTCCACGGGGTTTTCATCAGCTGAATGGGGACATGAGGGTTTCCACAAGTGTTGGGCTTGGATTGTGGTTGCAAACTTCCATCGGTTGTTTTGGACATAAAGCACCACCAACATGTTGTTGGCCTTGAAGAGCAAAGTGTCACACCTTGATAATGTGTCTTGCAAGTAACACCCTCAAGCTGGCCTCCCAACCACACATGAAGAGTTTCCAGTCTGTAGTTTCGAAATTGGGGCAGGTTTGAAAACGAACGGCGGTCCTCAGTGTCATCAGGGAAGTCCTCATCCGCGTACCAAAGCCCCGATGAGCGTCTCAGCTCCATCAACTTGCGAGCTTTCTCCTCGCCATAGTCTTCCTTCAAAGTACGGCCTTTCACAGCCTGCCATTGTTTCCGGTTCAAGTTGGTGTTCGAAGCACTCCGTTGCACGAGAAGCTCAGCCTGGCCCCAATCCTTATTCCCCTCGAGCCACTTCTCGAAGAGGTCACCCTTGTTGGTCTGGTAAACGCTGGCAAGGCTGATGGGGAAGGCTTTGGTGCATGCCGAACGGCAAAACTGGTCCCACTCCTTCTTGTTTGTGACACCTCCGATGGGGGGAGTCAGGAATAGAAGTAACCCTTGGAGCGCATCAGGGAACCGACAATCAAAATAATTTTGCAACTGATCATTATGTCAAGGCAAAGGCACTGTTTCTGCACTGCTTGACGGACGACTTCATGGACTCGACCGACTCCGCCAGGTCGTGCTGCGTAGCTCCTGCGCCGCCTTGCTTCCTAAGAATGCCCGTGTTGCCCGCAACCGTCTCCTCCGAGCTGGAGTCACTCTCTTCCAGGTCTGTCTGTTTGTCCTCTTCCTTGTTGTTGCCCTCTTCGCCCCCATCCTCGCCGTCCTCGCTGCGCTCCTCACTGTCCTCTTCCTGGCTCTCTTCCGCGCTCTCTTCCTCACTCACCTCCTCGCTCTCTTCGCTCGCCTCCGCTTCAGAGTTGCCGCCATCGCTGCTGCTGCTGCTGCTGACCATCACCTTGTCCTTCTGCGCCACTTCACCCTGCTGTTCTGTTTGTTTTGCGTCGGTCACGCACTTCATCAAGAACTTGTCCAAGTCTTTGATGTCTGAGCTGATGTGAGATTCAGCGTCATCTGCAGTGTTGCCGAAAAGCTCCTCCAGAAGCTCCTGCTTGTCCATGATGGCAGCCTCTGCCTTTGCTTGAGACTCCAGCAAGGCCTGGATTCGCTTGTCTGCAGCCTCCTCTGACAGGTTGGTGGATGGGGATGCGACAAGTGGGCTTCTGGGGGGCGGTGTCTTGAGCAGCTCCACTTCCGCTTTGCTGTCCTCTAGCATGTCAACCGCCTTGTTCTCCTTGCCCTTCTGGTCCGCGCCCTCATCAGCGGCGCTCTGCTTTGCACTCTTGCCCTTCTGCTTGGCCTTGGGGTCTTTTTCGCGCTTTTCTTTCTTGCTCTTCTTCTCGCTCTTCACCTTCTTGTCCTCGCTGCCCTTCTCACTGGCCAAGTCATGCTTGTCCTTCAGCTCCTGCTTGTTCTGCTTGCCGTCCAAGTCGCTCTTGCCCTTCGGATCCTGCTGGTCGCGCTTGCCTTCCTTGCTCTTCTCGCTGATGACCGACTTCTCCTCCTTGCCCTTCAGGTCTCGCTGAGAACTCTTCCCCTTGTCCTTGCCCAGGTCGCCCTGCTTGTCCTGGTCTTTCTCATGCTGCGCCCTCTTCTCTTTCTTTTCCTTCTTCTCACTCTTGCCCTTCTTGTCCTTCTTGTCCTTCTTGTCCTTCTTGTCCACCTTGCTGGGGTCCACCTTGCTGGGGTCCACCTTGCTGGGGTCCACCTTGCTGGGGTCCACCTTCCTGGCGTCCACCTTGATGGGGTCCACCTTGCTGGGGTCCACCTTCCTGGCGTCCACCTTGCTGGGGTCCACCTTGCTGAGGTCCACCTTGTGGTGCTTGGCATCCTTCTTGGTCTTGGCGAGCGGGCCGCTGCTGGCTGACTGTGTTGACACAGTGTTTGAGCTCTTGCCTGTCACACGCTTGGTCACCTTCGTTTTCTCTTTCTTGGCCTTCTTCTCCGCCGTTGCTTCCTGCTTTTTCACGTCCTTGAAAGTCACCGTGCGCTTCGCCTTGCCACCGTTCTTGCTCTGCTGCTTCATGCTGGTGCGACCGCCCGCCCAACAGTGCAGAACAATGGCTTTGCCACCGCTGGTTGGGCCCGAGCCAAAACACTTCTTGGAAAGCCCCTGATGAGATGTGAGAAACATGTTCATTGGATCTTTATTCCAAACTACTGATTCAGACCAAGGCTTCAAATCCTTCTCCTTTTTGGTGTCGAAAGGAAAGGGGAAAGAAGGTCTGTTCCTCTTCGCACCCCTCAACTTCAGAAGCACATGCAGGGCTTCCAAATAAAATGCAGTTTGGTGCCCAGTTTGAGGGATAGAAGGGGGAATGGATGGGACAAAGACTTGTTCTTTTTGGGGGCCCCTTCAACTTCCGAGCAACAGATGTGGCGCCCTTTCAAATTCAGAGCAACTGAAGTAGAGTGTTCAGGTGTTCAGGTGTTGGGATGGGGTGGGGAAGGAGGGGGATCCAAATCGCATCATTTCTCGCAAATCGCATCATCATTCTCGCCCAATCGCATCATTGAAAAAGATATAAAACCGAGAAAACAATTTAAACTATGTTCAACTGTGTTTGTTCAGCAACAGCCCTGAAGTAAAGGCCCATGCGCTCCAAGCCCTGCTTCCAGCCCAGGCCTTGCTGGACATCTGCCAGCACCAGCCGCTGCATTGCTCCTGCAAAGGCCGGAGGGGACCAAGGAAGGGTTTGCCGGAGTTGGGAGTAGGAGGTACCAGCGGGTTGATCTGGAAAATGAAAGGGTCGGGGCATGCTGCTTGCCTTCCATAGCAAACAAATCGGAGCGGCTCGGTTTTTCCCCTCCACATTCTGGCAGCGAATGGAAATCCACACTGTATTTTGCTAATTAAGGCACGGCCACGGGACTGGAGCCCTTTCAATGGCCAAGGTAAGTGAAAACAGGGTCGAGATTTGCATTTGCAGCCCACTCCCTATTGTTTTTCTTTGAGCAATCTGGTGATGACACCTTGTCTTCCATGGCTGCCCTGAGCTGTTTCATTGCTCGTCGGCGCATAGCTCTGGCATGGAGGCTCCGGATGTTGGACATGGCCACCCCAAATCTCGGATCAGGAGCGGAAACAGGAGAAACAAATACTCTTACTTTTACTACAAGCAGTCCCAAAAGCAAAAGCCGAAGTGCTGCAAAGGTGCCGTTTTGGATAGGACTGGCTCGCCTTCAAGTGAGGCCCTCCTTTCACCCGGAGCACCCCTTTTGAATCCCGGTAGCGAACGGCCAGCTCCACCTGCTTTGCACTGGTAGATGGAGTCTTGCGGGCATGCGAGTTGATCTCCTCGATCTCCTTGTGGCCTTAGGTGGTCATCCCAATAAGCATCCGTTTGGGGGGCATTACGTTTTGGTTAAGTGAAGTACATCATTTAATTAAATTGGTTGGTTTGACCCCCAAGTAGGTTATCTTCAATACTAGTCACAGACCACCACCAGAAAGACAAAATAGCACAGTAACCCTCAAGCTACCGCCCAACATTGTGTGGTTCACTGCCCCAAGATTGACCAAGGCACTGGAGTACAAGAGGGTGGATTTCCGTGATGGGGCCCCAAACCACTGCATCGAAGTGCTAACCTTGTGCACGATCACCCCTGGAAGCTTCAGGAATTTCTGGAAGTCGGGGTGCCATTCCATGAGCGAGCTTTGAGGCTGTTCTAGCACCCAAAAAATTCCCTTTGCTGAGCAAATCATGAGGATGATCATCAGCCTGGACACAAGTGTATTAGCGGTTGCCACTGCCGGTGATCGCTCCGGAGATCCTAGTGGTCGGTCTCGGCTGCGGCCCGTTGATCCTCTCGATATCCAGACCCAGGTTGAACAAATGGGTGCAGTAAGCTTACCAGAACCTGGCTGTAAGCAAAGTGCCCAATACAACGCGTTGCTAAAGCCAAATGGTGAAGTGAAATCTTGCCGGACGCAATCATTGCGCACATCAAAGGGAATGGCGGTCCGTCCAGCTTGCAGCTCTGCCCGGGTGACTGCAGCCATTCCCGAGAATGTCTCAAAGTGCTGGATTGGCTTCCATGGCAAACCAGGGATGCCAAACACCATGCCCACCAAGGTAAGCACAACCTGGTCAAGGATGGGGCTGCGGGGAATGACCGATTTTTTAAGACATGTGCATGTTGAAGTTGATCGGGAAACTGAAGAAACTCCATGATGGCGTTCAGCACCCTTATGTGTATATGTGTTTGATGCGTTCTTGAGTTCAACACTTGGCTGAACATGAAGGGAAACGCTTTTGCTTTCCTGAGCATTGACATCAAACACATTGCCAAAAGTCAACCAAGCTGCCAGGGGCGCCTTGATGCGGCGAAGCCCAGCCAAGACCCATGCCCTCTGCCGATCCTTGTAGGAGAGCAGCTTGAACTCACCACGCGGGCAGAACGGGAAGCCCTTGCCCTTCTGCTTCTTCACCACACCGCCCCGGCGAACACCCATGGCACAGACCCTGGTGCCACGCAAGCCCTTCAACCCTGGCGAGCAAAAGCTTCAGCACAATCAGGTGTACCACTTTGTTCCATTCAAGCAAACTGCCCCATCACCCCCGCCGCACACAAGACCCTATCGCAAGATCATCACTTTGAAGGGATGAAGGGAGACCGCCAATGTGAAGCACGGTAGTGGCCCCGCTCAAGTCAAATCGCAAGTATTCACACTTGTAACTTTAACTGTAGCTGTTAAAAAACTAAGTCAACTAATCAAAAACTGAATCCACTGCACAAGCATTCTTCACAAACAAAAAACACTGATTGACATGCTTTCAACTCAAATATCGCACGAGTTCTTTAAAAATTCTGCCCCTGGACCCACGTGAGCAAAGCACCGTTCCCACCCGTTTCTTTCTATAGCTCCCACCCCTCCCCCCCCACCCCCTTCCCATCCCTCCCACCCCCTTCCCATCCCTCCCACCCCTCTTCCACTCCCCCACCGCCCAACCGCGAGGCTCCTCGCAGCTGCAGCGCTCGCCGGGCAGCTGCAGCGCTCGCAAGGAGCAGGCACCCTGGATTTGATAGGCCCAGGCCCAAAAGGAAACTGCTGTTCCAGCATCATGTTGGTCCCACTACCCTAAAAGGCAATGTTGCTCCCGATTACCTTCCATGGCTTGTATCACTGGAGAAGGGGCCATGAGAAAGACTTGGGCTGGGGAATCAAGGGTTTTCTGTTGAAATGAAAGCTCCAGATCAAGGCACATTTTCTGGTTGTCAAAGCAAGTCAAAGCATTCCAAAAGGGGGCCAAGTTCCGCTCGGGTCCTCAACTGTGCTTTGGTTGGATGAAGAATTACCCCATCACCACCACCGCCACCATCACCAACAACCCCACCCCACCCTGGCCAAACGCTTTGCTCCTGGCATCTTAGGGGCGTAGGATTGCAACAAAAAGGCAATAAGTGCTTGTTAAAGGATGAGGTGGCCTGAAAAGGTGCAACCTTGAATTCGACGCTTCCAAAACCATTCATTAGAGTGTGCTTTGCTTGGCAAAGACACCCC